GGAGCAATCAAGAGTCAGCATATATGTTAATGCTGCCTCTTCACATTGTGACCACTGCTGGAGTGATAAGCAGTGGGCAAACCTTGACTGATGAGCAGTCTAGCAGTATCTGTGAAGAGGAACTCATAAACTAAAAGTAGGAACTACTCTGTCTCTTAAGAAGCCCAAAATCTAGAAAAACATGCCATGACTTAAAGCTACCTCCCCTGACTTGGGATTTGCAGCCTGGGACCTCTTGGAGTTAGATGCCTATTTCAAAGGTGCATGCAGTATGTAAGTAAATATGGTAATCATAATAAATGAGATCAATAAGAGATGTTTCACCTATCCAAACCATCAGGCTTGATCACATATGTTAAGAAACAAATCTACACTCTATACTCATTTGAATAACATTTGGGCCACATCTACATGCCCATGGACATTTGCTTCCCCAGGGACAAGAAGCAGCGGCACACCTAGGGTCATGGGGGCTAGGGTCTTGGGGGCAGTGGCACACAGATGGGTCTGTAGCACCACATACCGCACAGCCATGCTCATTTGGATGCAGCCTTGGGATGTTTTCTCTGGGGGCCCTATTTCCTCTCTGATGACAGTACATGGGAAGTCCAGGGGCTATGGTTTTAATGGGGTGAATCTTCCTGGTGTTCATGGCCTGCAGGAGGGCTGATGGACATGGTCTGATGGGCTGTATGTGTCAGGGGTCTATGGGGAAAAAAAATTCACCTAGAGCCTGATTCAGCAGAAGCACCTTTGTGTTTGTGCACTTTTCTGAACTGAGACCCTGACACTACTGATTCAGATGTATGCAACATGGAGTCCACTGTGCAATATGAAGTCCCCTTTCTGCCCCTCCTATCTTCCTGCAGTAGCACCCTACTTCTATTGCCTCTGGGATCTTGGCTGCAACCCTTCCCCATCCGCACCCTCCAAAATTGATAAAGGAACAAAAAAAGTGTGAGGGTATAAGGAGGAGGAGTAGGTTAGAGATGAAGGGGGGAAGCTGAAATATAACTTGTTACCTAGCCACATATTCCTTTAGAATTTCCACAGGGTTCTTGCCTGCTATGCTTCACATCATAGATGGTGCTGGAATCTGTATGTTTAGAGAAAACTACAATTAAACAAATAACAAGATGGAGATGGAGGACCAGTCCATGTGTACAACCCAAGCAGCACAAGGAAAGTGGAGACTGCCTATAACTTCCCAGCGAGGGATACCCTTGTATGTTGGACTTCCCAGTGGCACAGTGCTACCACAGCCAGATTCTTTGCTTCTGTACCTATAGCTTCCACCGTAGGGAATGAGCTGAGGGAGACGAGTGTCTCGGGTGCAGAAGAACGTGACTGTGTACCTGTAGCTGGTAAATTTTTCTCTTGGGGACTATTACTGATCAATAGCGATCCCCACCTACTCTATAATGTGCCAGGGACAAATTTGGAAAACCTTGACTGTCATCTTCCCATTCTCCAGTGCTGGGATCCTTCCTGGAAGTGAGTAGCCGAGAATCTGCCTTCCTGTAGCCCTCTCTTTAGTTGAGAAGAAAATTGGCTGGTAAAGATCTCTCAGACTCACAAAATTGGGATGTAGAGCCAAAGCTGTGTTGCTCTCTCATTATCTGCACATTCCAAATCCAGTGTGTCCACCGTAAGGAAGCTCCTTTAGTACCCAAGTGCTAGGTGTGAAGCAAAGATGGAATTTAAGACTGTGGACTCATACAAACTGCGCTCCTACTGACCCTGAATTTGCCTTTGTGAATGCAGAGGCCATTAATATATTCATAGTCTTGGCTGAGTTCCTTTTTTTGTAGTAGCATTTTAAGAGGAGTATAAGTCTGAGCCATGCATAGGGTAAGAATTTGTGCCAGACTTCAGACTGCAGTGAATTTTTATTGCTGGCTTGTAGGGCAGTGAAAATAGAGATTTATAATAGAAGCTTGACAGACTGATAATGAAAGAGCAGAGAGAGTGGTTACAGATTAGAAATATGTCCTCATTGATATGGATTTCTGTGAATACCAGTGCAGCTTTGTAGTGCATATTTCCTTCAATCTCCAGGAAGAGTCAGGATTTTTTTATGTCATGAAAGGAATTCTTACTTCTTAAAAATGGGATGTTTGGACATGTCCTGCACATCTGTATTATGAAATCAAATTCTGGGTGGTGACTAAACCTTCAGCATTTAACGATATAAACTGCGTCAAAGCTCTTGTAATGCAAACATGACCCAACATTGCCTAGAATTTCTGCAACAATCCTTTTGTCTTTATCACTGACTTTTTTCTTAATGGTTTCCAACTGTATTTAAATGAAGCAGTTTCCTTTCTGTTATGAATGTTCCTTTATAATGTTCTGCTACTTAGCATGCACTGACTGAACTCTATAGTATGCTGTATCTACTGACTGGATAATATGCAAATAAAAGAATCCTGCAAGTTCCAGTAAAAAATATTTTGTTATGGGGCCATCCTTCTCTTTTAGAAAATACAGTCTTATTCCAAGCAATGTTTCTCAAGTCAGAAAATTGAAATGGCTAATACTGTGCTAGATGTTCAGTGAAGCATTGCACCTGCCAAGTTTGCAGTCTCACTTCTTCCTACTGGTTACAGTTATTAACTTGCCTTCTTGTTTGCAACCAGGACTACTCGCAGCCTTCATAATGTAGAATTAGAAGCGCTTTTTGCTGAAACACAGATAGCTATTATTTCCTTGTAAAAACATACCTGAAGTATGTAAATCTCAGCCCTGGGTTAGCTTCCTGCAGAATGAATAGGCACCTTAGAAAGGGGTTCACAAGAAACAGCATGGTGACTGGAGACATGCCTATAACTATAACATAATGAAATGCCGAGGACAGGGCTGTATCTTAAATCCCACTCCCTCAAAAGCTAACATGAATCCCTCAACTTGAGATTTGCAGCCCAGAACCAGTTCCTGGAGTTAGATGCCCATTTAAAAAAAAGAGCCAGGAGTGGAGTTATTCTTTTTTTTTTTTTTTTTTTTTCCCCTAGTTAGGTTGTGTTTTAAAAGATAAAGTGAGTATAGCTTTCTGGGCTAGTAATTAGGACACTTACATGAGAGAAGATGTCCTAGATTCCAGTTCCTGTTCTGAGGACTGATCATGTGTTTATAAATCAAATGGCCATAGGTTAATATGCACAAATGTTCCTGTCAACAAGGCCTGGAACTTAGGACCCACTTTCCATGGTGAGAATCCTAACAACTACTACAGTCATGCTCAGACTTACCCTTTAGCCCAGGGGTGGGCAAAACCTGGCCTGTGGGATGGATCCAGCCTGCCAGGCCGTTCTATCCAGCCCTCCAAAAAACAATTATTACTGGCCTGTGGCTGCTGCTCTAAAAGCCAGTGGGGCTTTCAGAGGTCGCACACCACTGGCCTGGGCAGGCCCTGTGCTTCCACCTCCATGGGGCTTCTGTTGCTCTATCTGGGAGCCCCATATGGAGGTACCAAGTGCAGTGGTGTGTGTTACAGTGCGTACATTCTGGCAATAATCGTCGCCATTCACACTTTGCCATGCCTTTAATGGGAGAATAAATAAATAAATGAAAGATGATTGCAGGTCTTATACTTGATCTTTACAAGGTAAATTAATACTTCTCACTCAATACAAGCACAAAGTATTTACGTTAGAGCACCAGGTCAGCAAAGTCCTTCTTTATAGTCTTTAAGGCTAGGGACAGATATTACACATAAACCGGTTTAAATGATCAGAAACTGGTTTAAACCTGTAACAGAACAGATATCCAGTGCATATAAACCAGTTTAAAAATGACTGAAACCGGTTTGAGGTAAACCTGGTTGAATGTAGATTTAACTGATTTTGGCTCAAACTGGTTTATGCAATGCCTGTCCCAGACTCCTTGCTGGTTTAAGTCAAATCAGAATCCCCCAGCTTCCCAGCATGTTCTCTGGGCTGGGTGAGGCTCTGTTCTCTCTTCTGGTCTGGCCCCTTCCCTCTGCTCTCTAGTTGGAGTAGGGGGCAGAGCTCTGCTCTCTCTGCTGTCTAGCGGGAGCTGGCCTGCCATGGCCCCCAAGGCAAATTCCTCCTCCGTTTCCACCCCCTGAGGACCAGCTTGCCTCCACGGCTTGCCTGCAGCCAGGGAAGAATTCTGCCCCCCCCGCCCACCACCAACCTTGGTGGGGGGGAGGGGAGGCAGGGGTTGGCTGCAGTCTCAGTCATCATCATTGTGTGCTGGAGATGTAGTTAAGTGAAGTTGCAAACAGCTTCACCAAAGAATGCAGAGAGCTACATTTACATTATAAAGCAGAACCTGCAAAAGGTGTGAATGCCTAAACAAAGCCTTTCTGAATGCCTGGCTGTAAGGAGACACAGGATTATGTAAGATTTATGCAAGGCTTTCTCTTGCTTCCTCATTTACATTTTTAGAGTAAGTTGTGTATGCTGTGTTTTACTGGGCTGTATCTTAGCTTAGGCAAAGATTTTTGGTAGCTTCCTGTTGTATGCTTTGCAAATTGCTCTGTTCAATACATGCCTGCTTCAGAGAGAGGACTTTTTCCCCATCCCCACTGCTCTGTCTGGTATCAGCTGCCCCCCCCACCCCTTGCCCTGCAGCTGGTGGCTGGCATCCCCTGTTTTGTGCTAGCCCTGGCTGGTGCCTGGCCATGCCCCCTCCACTCCAGCAGGAAGGGGTAAGAGCCTTGGAGCGCAACAAAATTACTGAGAGAGCCTTGGAGGGCATCTCTCTTCCCTCCCCTTTGGTAGTGGGTGGCAGGCACACTCTAGCACCCCCTGGCCTCTGTCCTGAGCCACTGCAGGCATGTGCTTGCATTTCCTGGTTTAACAGAACATATCTGTCCAGCTAGTAATCAGTTTAAGCTGCACAGCTTCGACTAACCTGCAAAGACTGAATGAATTCAGGCTAGAGCTTTTTGAATGTCTGGCCCTAGACTAAGTCTGGGGTGCAACTCCCAGCTAAGCTCCCTTTTCTAATTGATTCCTTTTTCTTTATCTCTTTAGATTCCACTAGTAGTGGTTCAGTGATCCACGCTCCCCTCCTGTGCTTCAGAACTCACCTTTTCCATGCAATTTTCAGGTAAGTACCTTCATGATGCATGGGAAATCTCTTGCTTGAACCCTGTTGCAAAGTTCCTGTGCCTCCCCACAAGTTGCCCCAACCCACTGGGTTGAGCTCTGCTTCTCAGTCCCCTTCTGGGGTTTTTTTGTTTGAGGAAACATTCTTTTAAAGGGGTTTCCCTGCTGCTTTTCTGGTCAGTAATTGTAAGTGCTTCTCAGCCGTTGAGATCTCTGGCTGGGAGACTCTGTTTGATGTCATCACCCATAGTCGGCATCCCCGCTCCTCAGTAAGTTCTTCTTCTGTTTTCTTTATAACAGGGTCAATAGGCTCTCTGTTACAGTATGCAACTAGTCAGCTGGTAAATGGGGAGGGAGAGATGGGGGTGTAGTTTGTGGATGGAGGTGTGGGTTCCCCCTCTGCAGCAGGTGGCGGGCTCTCTGGGCACTCCTGGCTTGATTCAGGCAGAGCCCCATGGTGGTACGTGGCTCTGGCTGAATCCTGGGAGCTGAATGTGGCAGCACAGAGCCCCCTCAGACTGGGCTGCTGGGGTGTGCATTCAACCTTGACCAGCCTGGCTCTGTACCAGCACGTGGGGCTCCTGGCATTGCAGGCAGTAACTGTGCACCCTTGGGCTGGGCTGGGCCAACTCTATGCTTCCACATGGGGCTTTCAGCACTGCAGTGGGAAGCTGCACATGGCAGCATGGAGCCTGTCTAGCCTGATGGCATGTGACTCCCCATGACTTCCAGTCTGCATGCCATTGGGCCAGGCAGGCTCCATGCCAAGCATGTGCAGCTCCCTGATGGAGTGCTGAAAGCCCCACATTGAGGCACAGAGCTACTCTGGCTTGGCCTGGTCTGATGGCATGCAGCTTTCACCTGCAGTGCCAGGAGCCCCACGTGCTGGCATGGAGCCAGCATGGTCTGGTTCAGAGACGCACACAAGCAGGCCAAGCCAAGTGAGCTCCATGCTGCCACGTGCAGCTCTCAGGAGCCGTATGCTACTGTGGTGCTTTGCCTTCCATGGGCCAAGAGCATCCTGAGGGCCTGTTGCTGCTACTGCTGCTTCTGGCAGCAAAGGATAAGTGCCATGGGAGTGATTGTGGTGGGGGGAGACCCACACCCACCCACAAAACCCACACCCATCCACAACCCCCACAACCACCCATAAATCCCCACACACACCCATACCCCTACACCCCTTCACAACCCCCCCAAAGCCCCCACACACCTACACTCCCCCAAACTTCTTCAACACCCCCTCCCCAATATACAAGCATAAGACTTTATTTTGAGGTATTATGCAGTCACAGCTATATACACTATACAAACACAGGTAAATCAGGACAAAAATATTTTTTAAACAAAATTAAAATACGTTATGTAGATGTTTGATTTTTTTTTTAGCATATGATCTGTGTTTTTTCTGGTTCCAAGATGGCAACCCCCACCCCAAAGAGTACTTCTGGGAGCAAGGAGGTGGGGGGAATGACTTCTGGCGGCAAGGGTCAGGCGTCAAGGGTGAAACTTTTGGCCCCAAGATGGCAATCTTCCAGCCCCTGTCAAGGAGTGGGGCTACCCTTGTGCCCCTTGACAGCTCACCAAAAGTTAAGTGGACCTGCAGCTGAAATAATTGCCCACTCCTGCTCTAGCCCAACGAATCCTGAATTCGTGTCTGTGCTACGGACCAACTTCAACAGGAGGAGGTGGAGACTGTTTCTCTTCTGGCCATGGCCTATATCTTTGCTTTCCTGAACCCTTCCAGGCAGATGAAGCTGAACCCAATTCTTCCATAATCTGGCTAAGCAACTACTTTTCTCTTCATTTTTACTACTTATCTGCACCTAGTACAATGAGACCCTTATCAATGAATCTCCAGGTGCTACTGCCATATAAAAAAAGAACCAACAATAACCTAGGATTCTGACATTTACTTTCCCTTGCTTAGAGTATGTGAATATTGTCTAATTCATATGTTTTAGTACATATTGAAGTATGCCGAAATGTCAATATGTGTATCAATGAAACATTTATACATGAATACATAGTGCTGGTTACAAGTAAAAAAAACAAAACAAAAAACGTATGTTTTTATAGTTAAACTTAATGTAAAGAGTCAGAAGCTTGCTATAGAGTTAGGTAGATCTGACTCTACAAATTGGACATTTCAAAAAGATGAAGTGAAAGAAGCATAATTTGACATCAGGCATCTTTGAGAGAAGCCCATTAGGTGATGGAAAATAAAGTTTACATATTAAATGAATAAGAATTTTCATCATTTCATTTGGAATTGATCCTACTTTGAGGTTATGTATAGCATAGTATAGTATGTATGGTAGATGAGTCTAAGTGATATTAAAAGAATGCAGGAAAAAAAAGAAAATGTTTGTTTTTTTAATGTAAGATGAGAAACATATACGCTTTTAGTATGGAATATGGACTAGTGGTATATAAATAATTTATTTGTTGGAAAAGTTGTATGTGTCCTTTCTTTGTATTTAGAGGATACTCTGAGAGCTACAGACTTGCTGTTTGCCTCTAAAAATCACATAATCTTCCTAAACAACAGATAAAATAGAGGCAATTTACAAACTCGCTGTGGTGTTTCAGTACTCAATTAACTTCAAGAAAAATTACACAAATAAGTTTATTGGATGAAAAGTAATAATAACTAAATAAGATTATCACTCCCAAGTTTTCATTAAAATAAATTTAACTGTATTTTCCTATGAAATAATATCTCCTTTTAAATGTTTTTATGTGCTATGAATAAGATTTTATGTATGCCAACAGATGAGTTAGAGCGTTAGTGTGTGAGATGGGGGAAGGCGGGTTTACTTACAGGCCCCTTCTCTGGTCCCTTGTTTAAAAGCCACCTCCTTCTGTTTAAAAATGTAGATTTCTCTTACTGATTCCCTGTTTAGTTCCCTATTTAATTTGTGTGTGAATTCCTGTCTCCCATAACATTTATACTGGTTTATAGGAACCATTCTTTTTAAAAACACTTTTTTTCTTAACTATAACTTACCTACCAGCTGGCTTTTCATTTGGACTGGGGATTTTTCATGCTGTGCCCAGCATTAATGGAGATATATGAAGTTTAGCAGGAGACTCCCAAACCATATGGAGTTAATGCTGTTTGAGATATATAAAAATGTCCGAAATACACTGAGGACAGCATATTCTCCTTATATGTCTGACATAATACTATTAACATTTCACAAATGTATTTAAAGTGTTTTCTAAAAAAAACCCTTTGCATGATGCACTTTAAATAGCTATGTTTAAAATCATAATACTCAAAGAGTTTGCAAGAAGAATAATTGGACTTCAGGTGCATGTATCTGACATTGCTTCATACCTTGACACAGTAAATATCGTATGTCAGAGCACATTACTTCCTGTAACTAACAAAGAAACCTAAACAATACAGCTTCTCAGGTCAAAGAACCTAGGGTAAAAATGGGTTTGATCCTCTAACCCTGGCACACATGAGTAAATGCCATTGGATCACTGTGGCTGCTGGAGTAAGTTATTTGCTGCTGGTAGAATTGTACTGTTTTGGGGGTTGATGTTGGAATCTAGCCTCTTATCTCCTAGGCTACTGATATGAATCCTTCCTGATCCAATAATAACAGCCTTTAGATGTGAAAGCTGTTCTTTATGGTTCAGGGATCTGTTTCTCTCATGGTCCACATATACATTTGAAGCTGTTTCAAAAGGTCAGAATCTGGTATGTTCTAAATGTTACATGATGTGACCAAGTTGGGGAGCAATACAAATTTGGCAAAACTGCTTCAGTTTTAACCCTGGATGAAGCACTGAGGTTGGAGAGGTTTTGCCAGATGTATATTGTTCTCAGCTTGTCCATGCATAATAATTAAAACATAACAGCTGCTGCCTGTTTGAAATATTCCCGTTGAAACAGCTCCAAATGTACTTGTCCATATCTTTTAAGAGGCTCTGGCATGAGCCAGCGGAAACGTGTTGTTATGTTATGAAGTAGCTAATGTTACACAACGATGATCAGTTAGAGCTCAGACACTGAATGAATGGAACCTCTGTCAGATTGTTTGGCCCTGAGTGTTTACTAAACTGCACACAAGTGCAGCCCCCCATGCCAGTAAGAAGTCCCAGTTCTTCTCTCTGCTCATGGAGTTCCTGGCAGGATCCAGGTCTAACAGTTGCTGTCCTCTAATGGATCTTTAGCAGTCTGTGCGAATTTGCACCTGTTCCATTTTTCTAGTGAACAGAAATATATATCAAAAGACCACATGCACATCTGATACCTTTGCTTGAAGTCTCAGCAGCGTATGGGGTAGGCAAACCATCTGCTCATGCGTAGAGACCAAGACCCAGCCAGATATTTGCATAGTGCTAGATTTTTTTTCTCCTAATTTGTATCCCATGTCTGCTCTTGTTTGTTTCCTGCTGGGCTGCCTGACCCTACTGGCAGTGTGGGAATACATTCCTTCAAATGGCCAGCCCATTCCTCTGCTGGCCATCCATTCATCAGTACAGTCCATCTGCTTCAGACATGTGCGAAGTAATGAGTAGAGCCAGAAATGTTTGTCCAGCTGGTGTTTTGACTCCCTATTGTTTCATAAATGGTGAAGGAGAATAATTAGTATTCCAGTACACCCATGCACTCCTAGCAAGTTCCCTGCATGGGTGAAAGAGCTAAAAAGACTTGATGGAGTAATGCCTGAAGAATCAAACATCTAGTGTCATCAGACAATTGATGGCAGGGTTCAAACAGTGACCAACACAGAATACATAGGAACAGAATCCATGGTGGATGGCCATTGCCACTTGCAACCCAATCTGCGATACTCAACTCAAGTGTGGGAGAAATTCTATTACCCTCTCTGGGATCATAACAGAGAAGTTCATCATTATCTTCAGTCCTTGTTTTGACAAGTCTTTCACACATGCTTTTCACATTCTGTAGCACAGGAAAGTAAAGAGAAATGATGAGCAATGACTACCAAGGACAGGGCTGCCATCTCTTACTATGGGCTTATCAACAGCATTTCAGAATACTTTCCTAGCTTGCTCTCGCTGACTGTTTCTAGATATAGTTACTTAGGATCTAGTTTTACTGTAGGATTTTGTCATGCATTTGTTCTCGGCCTCAGAAATCACGAGTCCTGCAAAACAGAAGTAGGATAACATTTTCAAAAGTACCAAAGTGATTAACCCTCCCAAGATGTATCATCTAAAATGACTTATGGCCAGGTGGACACATTTGATGAGAGTATTTAATTAATAGTTTGTAGAGACAGAAGGACCCTTAGTTCATGTAGTCTGACCTCCTGCAAAACTCAAGCAATTTGGGTTTACTCCAGTTACTCTGTACCAAGCCCCATCACTTTTGTGTTTGGTTAAAACATATACTCTATAAAGTCATTTGATCTTACTTTGAAGATACCAAGAGAAGTGGATTCATTATCTTTTGGTGGTTTATTCTAGTAGTTAAGAAGTCCTCACTGCTAAACACTGTGCCTCGTTTCAATATGAGTTTTTTAACTTCTGACTTGGTTCTTGTTATGCCTTTCTCCACTAGATTAAAGACTTTTTTTAGTATCAGGTATTTTCTCCCCAGGAAGGCACTTATACAATGGAATCAAATAATTTTGACCTTTTTTAATTGAGCTCTTCTTGTCAATGTGGAAGCTCAATGTGGGGGTTGCTTTAATTCATGGCACTTCCTGTGAAACCCCATGAGTTAGAGCAGGAAACTGCATGTCTGTCAGTGCCCAGAGCATCATTTTTATTGCAGTTGCCCTTTTGAGACTCAAAACAGGAATTAGGACAGAGGTGGACAAAATATAGCCCGCAGGCCAGATCTGGCTTGCCAATTGGTTCTAATCCAGCCTGTAGGCGGTGGCTCCAGCTCTGGCCTCTGATACCATGCGGGATGCTGTGTAGACACACTCTACCCACCCACCTGGCTCTGCACAGTGACAGCAGAGGCTGGAGCTGCCACCTGTGTTGCCTGCCAGCAGAGGTGGGGGCCTGAGTGCAGCTCACCAGGGCCTGCTAGGTGGATAGGCACCCACCCAGGTGCCTTCTGCCCAGTGCCCCCCCATGGTGCTTGGGAGATGCAGGCTGCCCCTGCAGGCCTTTGGCGAGCACTTTCAGTCTCCAGCCTTTGCCGGCAGGCAGTTCCCAGGGCCTGCAGGGCCAGTCTGCATCTCCCAGGTGTCTCGGACGGCCAGGGCTGACTTGAGTTACGCTCGTACGTCAGGGCGGGCTGGTGAATGGAGAGGCAGACACAACTTATTGGTTGTAAAAAACTTTACTCACGCCGCTTGCAATCACGACGCAGGTGGTCCGGTCGTCGGAACAACCACACGAGTTTTCCAGCTGGCGGGGCCCAAGCCAGTTAATCCGTCCGCAATTCGAAGCTGGCGGGGAAAGGGGTACGTCGGGGTTGCGCTCGGTGACGGGAAGAAAGATCAATAGGTGATCAGTCTATCGATCGGCAGCCG